GGTACAAATTGGCACAAACATAGCACAATGCAGCATTAAGAAATGCACCATTAAGAAAAATACAAAATACAAAATTCAAAAAGTGAATCAGCATTGCGCGAGCAGTGATTATCCGTGTAATTTATATATATGAGAGTGATTGAACACAAATATGGTACTGTCCAGTATCCAGCGTTATCTTCAAACATGGAGGCGAAATTGGCAATCTACTTATAGAGGTTTATAGTCATATAGAAGTCTACTTATAGAATAAGGTAAGACACGTATTGTAGAATTAATTTCAATTGGAATTATTTAATTATTCTTTATTATTCCTTAGTTTTTTAAAATAATTTTCTAGGAAAATCGATATTTAAAATAATTTAAAATAATTTCAATCAAAATCTATTCTGAATAATTTCATGGTATACATGCTCTAAAGAGATTGCATATTTCTGTAAATTATTATAAATTAGAAATGAAAAAAATTTGAGGAGCGTTTTCTCAGCAAGTCGACTATCTATATGTCAGTTGTCACTCTATATCAAAATTAAACCGTCAAAAATTTTATTGGAAAATTAATATAAAAATTTGAAGTAAAAAAATGTAATCGTAAAACGCAAATATGCTAGTAAAATTAGTCGTGTATAAAAATTTGGAAACAGATATGAACATTATAATAGAACAATAAACTATTGCTTCAAAATGTTATTATAAAATTGGCAGGTAAATGAAAATTAAAAATTGTTTATGTATGTACATTTAATATCAATATTTGACATTGATAGTGTCAAAAGATCGTCAAAAATACATGACAACAATGGCTTAAAATCTTCATAAATCTTCGTAAAGCTTTCATCATTTAGGAACTTTCATAGTACAGGAATTTTCATAGTTCAGAAATTAAATCATGAAAAAAATAAATCAGTACATTACGACCTATCAGAAAGACTATACCTGGCCTGACGATGTGTCGTCTAAATGTTTTCAACCTCCAATTAAACCAATTGTCGTTAAAGATTGCACTTGTACTGATTCGCGACAAGAATATAAAGAATTATTAGATGGAAAACTTGAAAAGTATCGCGATTGGAGTCGGATGGGTCCTATGGGACGACTGCTGGAGCCAAAGATTTATGAAATCAAAATCGAACAGGCTCCCAAGAGAGAAATAATGCGATTAGATCGACTAACCAATATTTGCGTAAGAAAAGAAAATATTCCAATTTTTGTTTAACATATTACATAAGTGATCTTTTTTATAACTCTAGAATAAAAGATTTATTTTACGAATATATATGACTCATATATGCATTTCACGTTCCTCTTGGCTTATATATATATATGTGTATATATATATATATATATATATATATATATATATATATAAAAAAAATAT